AAAAAATAATTTCTTGAGTTAAGTGCAGAAGGTTTAAGTGAGGTTTCATATAGAAGGAGATTAAATGCACTTGATTAAAATAAAAGATTTTTCATAGATGATTTCCTTTGTTCTCAGAGTTGAAATTTAGGCATTTTTTAAACAAAGGTACTAAACATAGGACGGATATGATTATTCCAAATTATTGTTTGTATGTTTTGATGGGACGGCGGCTCTTTTGGTCACTGTGCCTGATGGAGTGACCTGTTCTTGCAGCTGTTTCTGTATGGGGAAGTGACAGATCACAGGAAGGTAGAAATTCAGGAAGTTGACCAGGGTGAAGGAGTTTAGCATGGGTTAGCTTTTCCCTTTCTATATTTCTAACATTAATAAATGGCATATATTCTTATTTCCTTTGCAAAAGTCCAAGTGTGTCAGCTCAAATAAGCAATGGAGAAAAATATACATGTTTTAAATTACAAAAAGATAAGTTCCTAATTTCTCTTTTTAAAATGAGGAGCTTACACATAAAGGGGAGAAGGTAATAGGCATTTAAGTCCATTCTGTGGATGGTGCATGAGTCATGCATTTATAGTAGTCTGCTTTTTTGTTGTTGTTGTTGTTGTTGTTGTTTTTAGCTGAGCCATCCTGCCACCTGTTGGCAGCTCAACGGCAGCTCAGCTCGGGCCAGGCATCGAACTGGTGTTGCTCAGAGCTCGCACTCTTGAGCAAGCTCTTAACCAACTAAGCCACTCGGCTGGCCCCTAGAGTAGTCTGCTTTTTGTAAGGCAGACAATCCTTGGGGAAGAAAAGGGGAATGGACACTTCCTGTGCATCTATAATATTATGTGACAGGCATTGTATACTTTCACATAGCTCGTTCGAATACTACAATGGCTCTTGTAAACAGGATTGTAACCACCCTCATTTCTGTTGAAGATGAAGAAACTAAGACATATGGAAGCTGAGTGATGTAATAGCGAGTTCTTAACCATCGCGCCACTCGGCCGGCCCATGAGTGATGTAATAGGTTCAGTGTGTTATTAGGAGTAGAATACCTGAAGTTACTAAAGGGTTATAAGACATATTTTATTGCGCAATTCATTTAGATTTGGGGTATGGCCAGCAGGTCTGGAAGGGTCAGTTATTCAAGTGAGCATTCCTTTATCTGGTATTAGTGACATTTGCCAGCGTCACAGTTGGTTACTTCCCTGACAACACAGAGGTCTGACTTCATCACCCCACATGCTATTCCTAACATAGTATCTAAAACAGAGTCAAACGTATTTGAGACATGGGTCTATTTATTTGAGCAATGGCCAATGGAGTGAAATGTATATTTTAAAAAGCGCTGTAACATTATCCATTTGATATTCCACACAAAGAAGAACATAGGCTTCAACTAGTAGGAAAATCAAAGTTTTAGATAGGTTTCCTCTACTCCACTTAAGAAGGAAGAGATATTCTCACCTCATTTTCGAAAATTTCAAATTAATATGGTTAAGGTAAAAATTGGCAGCCAAAACAAGAAAATGTTGTCACCTTAAAAAATGTTTTTCTATTTAACGCTTAATGTAAAAGTCTCCAAACGAAAAGAATTTTGGACCATGGATTTTGCATCTACAGTGCTCAGCTCAGTTTGACACATCTGTCGCCCAGTAAAAGCTTTGAAGTCAAGTCAATGGTCCAGGGTAGACGTTGTAGTTCAGTCCTTAAATCACTGGCAATGAGAAGTCATTTGTATCTGCTTCCAAAACACCCTGCCGATACCATAAAAGGTTTACAGTGAATCTTGAGAATTTACTGGCGCCCACCCCGATTCCACCCTGATTATTAGTACTGGCAGATATCCCATTCTCCATTCGCTTTACCCATGCCACCTCTCTATCTCTAAATCCTTCCATAGCACATTATCATAACCAAAATATTATGCAAAAGTACTTCATAAACTGTGGATTAATAAATATGCAATAATTCATAAAAAGTAATCTCTCGTGGTAGGGTACTACTGTTGTCTATCTTGCATTAAATTTTGACAAAATGCATTGTGAATAAAGCACGTACCCTATATTATGGGTTCCTGGGTTTAATTCTATGCTCCATGAAGTAGTTTGTGATGCTGATAGAAATAATGTCTCTAAATTTTAGTTTCTTTATCTTCATCCATTACTATCCTACCTCTCTGGAATAGTGCCAAGATATTTGCTGAGAAAGCAGTATAATAACAATCACATATTGGAAAGAACATTAACCTGGGACGCAGCATGATCCTGGTTTGAATTTCAATTCAATTACTTATAAGTTGTATAGCTTTGGCTAACTCATTTTTCTGCATTTCTGTTCTCAATCATAAAATAGGGTTGCTATTACTTAATTCCTGCGAGTGTTATGAGGTATAAGTAAGACTACTCCAGCACACAGTAGGAACCCAAGGTTTTACAAACTTATAGATACATAAAACACATGAAATATTTCAGCACTTGAACTGAAATTAAAGAAAAAAGCATAAGCCTTAGGACCCCATTAGTCTGCCTTCCTGTCTAAAACACACTTGTAAAATAGACTCATTTTCTATTTTGCACTAGGTATATTTCTCTTTAGAAAGAGGTTGTCTTTTAGAAAATATTCTTTTCTGCCTTTCAAAATCCAAGTACTTGTACTATTTTTCCACAATAAAAAGAAATGAGCTATAGAGCTTTGAGCAGAGATGGAGGAAAAGGTCTGAAAAGGCTGTGTGCTCTATGATTCTATCTATATGATGTTCTGGAAAAGGCAAAACTCTAAAGACAGTAAAAAGATCACTGGTTACCAGGTTCGAGAGGTGAGGGGTTGAGGGGGAAGAGGGATGACTCGTTCAAATACAGGAAATTTTTAGGATGGAGATAATACTACTGGGGTGAATACATGATATTATTATGAATTTGTCAAAACCTGCAGAACTGTTCAACATTAAGAGTGAACCTTAATGTAAACTATGGACCTGAGTTAATGAATAGTGAATCAATATTGGTTGCAACAAATGTAACAAATTAAGGCAGGATGTTGAATATAGAGGAAATTATGAGCAGGGAAGAGGAAAATACGGGAATACTCTATACTATATGCTCAATTTTTCTGTAAACCTAAAATTGCGTTCCCCCAAATAAAAGTCTATTAATTAAAGAAACAAAAAACAGGAACAGGAATGACATCCGGAGAAATGGCAGAATAAATAGCTCCAAGGTACTTATTTTTAAGACAGTTTTTTTTTTCTTTCTTAAAGAACTAATGAAAGAAGTTAAAAATCTGAATTCTGTAATCATGTCATCCTGTATTATACTTGATTTACCTCTTGACTGGGGTAACAAATAATGGTTTTTCATCCACATGCAAAGCAAACTCCATTGTCAAAAAAATACTATCATTAACAAAAATCCTCTTGCATTTTACTGGACATAAAGTGGAAACGGA